ATTCCTGAGGGGACTTCCAACGACTGTTGAGTCCATGCCACGTCGAGTTGCTGCACTTCACCGGGCAAAAGGCAAAAGTGGGGGGGGGGGGGGGGGGGGGGGGGGGGGGGGGGGGGGGGGGGGTGGGGGGGGGGGGGGGGGACCGACAAAATATTAGGAGGTATCCCATGACTTTTGTCACTTCAGTGTAATGACCGCCGTGCAAATATTCCGTGACCCATCTTACCTTATTTTCAGGTTTCTTATCGTACCGCCCATGTCGTATTTTCAGCGCTAAAGGGGATGCAGCTTTGCTATCCGTATGGGTCATTCCCATAAGATGTCTGTTTTGTCGAGAACTGATGCAACGAGGTTACTATGAGCTCCGATATCAATCCGGTCATGCTTCCTGGATAGAGGAGTTCTACATTGTCATGAGAGCAATCGGATTTAGACCGATGCAACAATTTTGCGGTAAAATAATACGTAATTACGGTACACTGTTATTTTCCTGCAATCAAATTCCATATGTGTTCTGATGCTGCAGCTTTGCAGTACTTCTTAAAGCAGTAGATTTGCGGTGTAATATTGCGCATTCACGGTACCCTGTTATTCTCCTGCAATAAAAATCCATTTCTTGTTAGATGCATGTCCTACATCTGTCTTCTTTTATGCTGATTCTATGTGGTATTACAGGCGCCTATTACTTGTATATACGCTGCAATGCTAATTTTTCCATGCTTTTATATGCTCTGTCTATTATGAAATTTGTTGTCAATCGACTGCTTCCTTCACGTTGTTGCAACTTTAACTAACCATGTTGCAACTCTTAACTAATCCATAATTGATAACCCATTATAGCAATGAATTTTACCTAGTTTTTACCAAAAAGGGAAGTAAATATTTATTTAAATTTAATTTCTTTTCTTATTATAAAATGTCCTTCCTCTTTTTTAAGAGTTAATCGTTCCTTTAAGCGAATTTTAATTCGTGGTTTTCTTTAATAGTTTAAAAAAAATTTTATATTAAGTTACGTTAAATATCAACTGTTCTTTTTTTCCAGACTATGAAAATAGTGTTTAGTTAGATGATGCAGTATGTGAGTGAAACTTCATCAGTGTTTATTTGGTGAATCTTTTCTCATATAATAGCTATCCGATTTCCCTACGACAGCTAGCACAAAACATTCAGAGAAGATCAGGCATAAGAATAAAATAGTAAGGAAAAAGTCTGGCATTTCGCAGTCGACCGCAAAATTTCAAAATAAAGTGTATAAAGTAGAGAGCACGCCTACAATATTTGCATCCATAGATTGGCAATTTTATATTTATAATGTATCTGAGAACTAAATGAGTCCAACCTAGTTTGCCTTCTGGAATTTGATTCCAACAAAGTCGGGATACTTTGTGTTCCATTACACCACTTGTCTCAAGAACCGTGACCGTTTTCAGTATTTTATTTGGTGCTGTCTTGCAATTCCGGCCAACTAAAGACTGTTGTTGTTTAAACAGGGTAAACAATTCCCGTAAAAATACTGTACAATACATGCTGGAACAGCGTCCCTTTTTGAGTACTTCTATATCACCTCAGAATACCATGTGGATAACAAGCCATTTGGTATACAGTATATGCATTATTTCAAAATCACTAGTAACGTAAATTGTGCCCATGTTCTATATCGAAATATTCAAACAATTTTCCCTGTCGTAGGAGTGAACCTTTAACAGATTATGAACTTCGTAACTAAAGATACGTCATGTTTGCCAAAGACGGGGAGGAAAATACTGCGGATAAACACTTCGCTTTATACATCTTTTTCTGGTGGTTACGAACGATAGAGAAATGTCACATTATGCTCTTGCTGTATTCTTCACATACTTCATCATCTCTGAAAATCCATTGCCATTGTCATCGGGAATTCCGATAGTTTCTTCGTGAGTCAATAATATGATTTAGTGTTACAACTCACTTTTAGAAATTGCGCAATTTGTACACATTTTGATGAGGTTCCAGCTTTAAATTAGCTTTGATTCCTTAAATTCAAAAACGATAAATACGTAATTCTTTCCTACTCTTTACCGTAAGTCTAGATTTTTCGCATCATAAATATAGCTGCTTTTTATTGCTTCCAATAGCTCTGCAAATAGCTGATATATGTATTTTTATATCAAGGCTAATGTGGCTACTTTACTTACTTTATTATGTTATACATGCGTATGCAATAACGTCTTAAATTTGTTATTTATTTGTAAGATTGATGAAATATAAAATTGTTTTCTGAGCAATTCGTTTAGTAATGCAATCACCGCTGATATACTGACGCTTTATAAAAGATTTATTTTTGCTACATGTAATAAAACTGAGTTGTTATTCACTGAGAGCTCAATTTCGTATTTACGGGATCTGTTCCCATAAAATTCTCTTTAATCTAGCTTTCAATTGATAGCCATGAATACAGCAGGGAGCCTTGCTTTATTCGTTCGGAGAAGTTTAATTTCCGATCCAATTAAATAAAGGATGCTTTTCACTTCTCACTTATCCCTAATTTACTGTGAATAATGTCAAAAAGGTGAATTCGGCTGACATATACTAAAGCTGAATAACTGACGCATATAACCATGTTTTTGAAATGACCACTGCAGCTCATGGTCCATAAAATGCCTTTTCAAACTTTCTCTGAAAATATTTGAGGATCATCCATTTATCAAACTGCAGTCATGAAAGGATCTTTAATGAAAACTGAAATATTCAAAAAGATAATGTTTAAATAACTCTATCATTTTAAGCAAATTAGCAATAATGAAATAAGTTTTGTATGGGAAGGAAAAAAAAAAGACTCGAGAAGATGTTCGACATCTTGTCGTTGCCCATTTGTTTTTTTCTGAAATCTGTTTCAGAAAGTTCTGTCTGCATTTATTGACAGCTTAATTTGAAGGAAATCCAAGTTTAAAAAATTAGTAAAGAAATTTGCATTAAATTATTTTTCTAAATAAATATTTTACTGTACAATTTTTATCACTTTTATAGAAAAAGTAAATCTTGCACAAAATAAACTTTTAAAGATTTGCTTAGAAATTCCTTTGGTATGTAAGATATAACAAAATACAATAGCTGCGCTAAGAAACAATTGGCGACCTCAAAATTAACTATTTTAAATTTGGTATTCTTTCCTCAAAGTTCATCTGTTCTCCCAAATTCGAGATCTTTTCACGTTGCATAACAATCTAAAATTAATCAATCACAGCCTATCTATACCATATGCACCTACTTAGTGTAAGTACTGCTCGCAAGCAACTACATCATTCCTTTTCCTACCTCCTGCCATGCCAGCATCTACACGCTGCTATGTCCACTTGCCTAAACTGACGTTAAGCGTACATCTATTTAAATACGCATTTAAAATACTACACACACACATACATATATATATTATTTACTTTATGCAATTAATTTAGTCTTAAATTTCTTTTTAACTTTTTAGGATTAATTTTTGTATTATTAAATATTTTATGTTTTTAGATACTTAATTTACATATGCTTTCCGAATTTAAATGCTACTGCAAATTAATTCGTAGCAATAAGTAATCTTTTATTTGAATACAATTGAATTTTCATAATTCAAAATTTAAATTAACGTTATATATATATAACATAGTCAGAAGTAACTGAAGAGCAGGAGGAGCAGGAATTTTGAATGCGTAGAAGTGTTGATCCTTAATGACTAGGAAATTGAAGGCGAATGCAGATTAAATCTTCAGTTTTATTTTGAGCAACATATTGCGGCTACACACAAGTCGGCACATTGAATGTGCCTGTTCCAAAAGGCTTACATTTTTGTAGCACGAAAACAGCAGCAGACAGACGGCAATGTAGCTAGGCCAAAGCGTGGAAAGCAAGTGCGTAATGTTCAGGATGAAATCTCAAGTCAGACTGAGCTATTTTTAGTTCTCAAAGCATTTCGATTGAACAGTTAATATTGCTGTAAAATTACTATTGGCTGGTTGAGTTTAATTTCCATTTACATCATCATAATTACGTAAGAATCATACGACATAGAATAGTCTCTCGAAATGACGCAGTGCAGAGAGGGGTTACTATTTTTAGAATAGAGAAGGGAAACCAATTTACGCTGCTAATTTAATCTTTTACATATTCTTTATTTTACGTTGGCGCGTACTCAGTATTTATAGTAGCGGTTACGTAATAGGTAAGCATATTCTAGAAGGTACTGGTCCAGGCCATAAGATCCTAAATCGCAGAAAATTAATTAAAGGTTTCTGGTTCGCGTAGAGCAAAGCCATCGTAGTTTTTTATATTTTACATGTATATATTAACTTGGAAAAGACAAGGGAAAACCTACACAGCTGAATTGTTTGATTACCAGATAGTTCGTATGAGATTTTGTAATATAATTAAATGAATTTCGAATTACAAAAAAAGCTGCTGTAATAAATCATTTCCGTGTCACAAATGTTTAATTTTTAAATGGCATTGGAGATATAAACTTCAAGAAAATAAATGGAGAAACTAAACTTTGGCCAGACATTTCCATGTTGCTATCTTCTACAAAGGGGATCTTTATCTCAGAGATTAATCAAAAATATCCGTACACGTTTATCTTAAATGTAGAGGAAATTGGTAAAGGAGTTTAAGTTTTTTATGCTTTAATATCTGCTTTCTCACTCGCACTATCGCACTCCCGCTAGCATAACACTATCATTATTCTATGCGATCAAACACTTAGCCAAATAATGGCTACCTTGAATAAAAACGCATCTTGAATAGAAAAGCTAAAAGAACTCTTAAAAGAGATAACTAGAATACATAATCAGTAAACTCGGTGGCAACGTATCGTACTATGAAATCAAGTCACAGTTGAAGGAAAAATTTGTAAACTTTGTGTGTTAAATTGTGGATGCCTTATTGCAGTTTCATATCATTTCTTCCTCATTCATAATTTTATGTCACTTATGAAATAGTTTAGGTGCATTTATCTTTGAAATTCACTTGGGGCTCAATAATTTGATTCTTTTTCAGCTCATTGTGTATCTGCAGCTCCAAAATGTGATGATAAAGATCTCAAAGACTGCATGGAAGAATTACAAGTCCTTACAAGCAAGCAAGATTTAGCTTTCGCTGAGACAGATGACGAATTGAGTAAAACATGTGGGTAAGAAGTGTTTTGTATTACAGTAAAAATTAATTTCATAGCTGTTATATGTTTTATAATTAAAAACACTGCATATCATTAAATGGAGGTACATTTATAATTGTGTTGCAAAAATGCTATGCATTACATATCTTCTGATAAAAATAGGACTACATTATATCCGCTTCTTTTAAAGACTTATTGCAGTCAAATTCAGAGTGTAGAATGTATTCAACTAAGGAAGGAAACTATAGTTATGGAGATTGAATGATTTCATTTTTACATAATACAAAATATCGGCGAAAACTCACCAGACATTGGTATTTTTGTTCATTTATTACTATTACATTTGTTATTTAATATGGAAAAAGGAACGTGGGATATTGCAACAAACAGGCACCATGGAAAGAAATAAGAAGACACGTATCTCTCTCAGTTTCTTCTCTTCGTATTTGAACGTTACAGTCGCATTCGAAGGTATGGTAAAGACATAACATAATTTATCGGTCCCAGGGGAGAAAATTCCATTGTCTTCACTTAGGAATCACTCTTTCACCACGCTGAGGAGGATTTAGGTTGGGATGTAACAGAGTAACTATATCTATTCCTACGTGATTTTTTTTTATTAAAGCTGAAATAATTGGAAATGTTTTTATAACGATTGCTTTAAAATTGAAAACAATTGCTTTTTATATACAAATCCTTCAGTTTGGCGTAAATATAGATATAGAAGAAGGAAAAGGCACTTCTGTTTGTATATGTCCTTCAGATAGATGATGATTATAATAACCATAATCTTAATAACCACACTTTAAAAACCACATAATACTTAATAGCCGTACTTCGCGCATATCTAAAAAAACTTCCTAACATATAGTAAGAGAAGGTTTGATATATCAAATGTTTTTAAGTTGCTTTTCTAAAATTCTTTATGAAAACACTCCGCAAGTATCATTTATATTTTGTAAATTTACAAGTATCCGATTAAATTTTTAAATATATCTTAAGTAATTTTTATGTTTAATAACATGAATGGAATATAAAAATTATTACTTACAGTGTATTAAAAATGTTTAAAGGATTGTCTATTTTGATACTTATCACCATCATTCTATGAAAACTTCTGCCTCTTTTTGTCTCTAAGAAGTCGTAAATCAACGAAGCTGATTTTTTATCTTTCCTGAGAAGACTTATTCGAAAACATTTTATTTATTCCTCACAAACTACCATCAATACAAAATGCCCTAAAGTCTTGATTCATTATCCACATATACACATGCAGATATTACTTGAGCCTGATTAGCGTACTGTGAGGAAATTCAGAATATATTTAAGAATATTTCTCTTTTATGCTCTATTATAACTAATATAATTTTTTAACTAAAACATCCAAAGTAATTGCTTTTATTTCTTGAATAATATGAGATCTGTAAATATTTTCAGGTCAAAACTCTGAGAAATACTTTCAGAATCTCTTAAAGAATTTACAATGGCTTACATTTGTTTTCGAACACTTGTGTTTTCCAGTTTTATTTGCGAGTATCAGCTACTAAATACTTTATTTTTTCACTATTTTATTCATCACCTTTTTTAAAGCCTGCTTGTTTGGGAAAAAAAGTATACAAAGCACTTTTGGTTAAAACAATTATTCAAAGTTTTCTGAAAATGAGAACTCAAATATGTATTCAGGCTTTCGAACAAACACTTTGTATTTAATCAAACAGGAAGTAACGAAAATAACACTTGCCATTCGGCAAAATGTCCGGCTATTCGAAAGCGAAGTGTTGCCACCGTCTGAAATAAACTAATTATTATTCCCCACACCAGCGTAATGCCATTCAGTAAAGCATAAGCTAATTAACTTTCAGATTTAACCTCTCTTCTACAAGCAATAAACCCAGTTCTTAAAAATAATTTTTCGATTTTTTTAATCTGATTGATTTAAATAAAAGTACATTTACATCATGATATATTAAATACATCATGATATATAAATCAAGTCTAATTAGATATATTAAATACTTTGAAGAAATATCATTAGCTGGAGTCATTAAATTCATTATTTATTTTTTATGATACATCTTTTAGACGGTTGGTCGCTGAGAAATAAATAGCAAATGTAAAATAAATCTATGGCAAGAAATAATATAGCAGATATAAAAGAGAAATAAATATCAAACAAAAAATAAAAGATTAAAAGAGAAATAAATAGCAATTTATTTATCTTATTAAAAGAGAAACACATAGCAAATATTTAAAAAAAAAATCTATGGCAACGCCTGACACTATCGGGAATTCTAAAGCTATGCTGCTTTTAAATATTTTAGGACTTGGCTGTTCAATTTTATATGGCATAAGTGTAAAGAAAGCAATGCGCGATAGTAAAGCTAAAAGGATAAAAACATTGTGTTAGGAAGAGTGAGTCCAACAGCTGGTTAATAACACGCGATGCTCCTCGACAGCATAAAATCTTTAGTAATTCTTTGATGCGCCACTAAAATTTGAGTCCTTTTTAATTTGAATCCTTAAAATTTGAATATTTTTTAAGTGTTTTTAATTTGATTTAACATAATTAATTGATTTATTTTCGCAGCAGATAGGAAATTGACATTCAATGGTTTTTGTATACATAATGTAAATGACGTATTGCTAACACTACGTAAAGTAAGCTCAAAATAGTGCAATCATGTTTGGGAATGATTTATTTTAAATTAAATTCTTGAAATACATGTTATTTGGAAATTTTGGGGATTACAGTTCTTTCTCGTATTTTAAAAATTGGTAAAATTATTAAAATTTGACCTTAAAATTAAAAAAAAAATTTATAAAATATCAGATGTCACATATTTCAGACTTACAAATAAATTGTTTGCATTGTGGAGTCATTAGGATTTTTTAGAGGCAGAAAAGATGAAAAATAGAAAACGCCTTCGCCGGGAATCTAACCACGGTCCTCTGGATACCAGCCCAGCGTGCAGAACCACTACACCACGAAGGCGGCTAGGAAAGTGGGAGAACTACCTTATATACTCCCCTTGTTAAAGGGCGACTGGGGTTTTGGGGGACCTAGTCGCCAAATCCTGGGTGCGGAGAATCATCATCAACAACCCTTTTAGTTCGGGCACCACTCGTAGAGTCATTAGGATTTTTTAGAGGCAGAAAAGATGAAAAATAGCAAACGCCTTCGTCGGGAATCGAATACACGGACCTCTGGATACAGGCCCAGCGTACAGAACCACTACACCACGAAGGCACGCTAGGAAAGTGGGAGAAATACTTATAACATAATATGCTCAATGTTTATGTAAATAAATAATTATTTATAAAATTTAATATTTCAATTTTAATTTCATTATATAATGACTCATCGGTAATTATTCATAACATTAGTTTTGGGTGTATGGGATCAGTAATAACAACGTCATTTTATTAGCGCATGTTTGTTGTCGGTTCAAGTTTTATTAGTGAACTGGAAAATAAAGAAATTCCAATCTGAAGTCTTAAATTACTATCTAACACCTGAAAACTAATTTATTATTGAAAATGTCTCATTTTTTTAAATAGGTACAATTAACAAATGTGGGAAAGGGATCATTAGTTTGTTATCCAGATGTTATGTCGAGTATTTTAATTATTAATATGTGTTTTAAGTTATTATTATTCTAGTATTTTTGTTTGCATTCATGTATATTTTAATCTGAAAAAAAAAGTATTCTTAAGCTCTTAAGGTTTTATTTAACTCGTTATTCTTGAGTAGGAATTGTAACAAAGGCGGGAGACGGTTGCAAGGAAACACATCTGGTTTATTGTTTTATGGCCTTTTTATTAACAATGGAGGCAGTAGGGTTGTGTGTCGCCCTTTTAACTCATGGCGTGTGAAACGGAAAACGTCTTCTTGTCGCTTTGTTAACGTTACAGTTTGACTTACTTCAAGACAGTGGGGGGTGTACTAAGCTTAGATAATTGGATTCTCGTAAAGCTTAGTTTCGCTTGTTAGTTGGGGGGGTCCATTTTTTTTCTCACGTTATGTGTACAGATGTTTTTCGAACTACATTGTCAGATTTTCTGGTGTTTGATTCGTCATGGATGTGTCATTTTGCTCAGTTTAGATAACATAAAATTCCGGGATTGGTAAAATTTAATTTTATGATTTTTTGAAAGCCTATGAACTCACAGAGGCGGAGAAAACGAGATTTCCTGGGTACTTGCACCAGGCTAGAGATTATTCTGATTCTGATTTTCAAGAGTAAGAGGAGAAAAAGTGGGGCTTGACCCTTCGGGTCTTGCTCTCGCGGCCGCTAGAACCAGCCGGCAGCGGGTATGATTTTCTCTACATAAGGCGTAGAGCTCAGGAGAAAATTTCGATTCTCTTGTTCCAAGAATTGAAATGCAGATTCTCGTTGTGATCCGGATGTCGTGTTCCTGTTTTTTCCGACTTTGACTTCCTAATTAGATTCTGTTCTAAATGTGCTCGTGCGTTTCGAGGCTTCCAGAATGAAAGAGACACGTGTAGAATCCGTCTAAGGTGTGCGATGCTGTTTATTCTGCCTGTGTCAGCTGCGTCGATTTTTTCATCCTTCCGTGCTCTGGAATTTATTTATTGTAAGGACAGCTTCAGTGGTGTTTCAACCAAGTCATCTTTAAAATTCGCAAGAACTGTCTGTCTCCATTAACGAGGATTTTGTGGAATAAAGGACAGCAGGAATAATGTGGTGCTCGAGTAAACTTTGGACGCTGGACGATCTGTGGAGCTGTCAAATCACCTTATTAATCAGTATACGAAAGGTATTCCCGAGTAAAGTGAGTGTTGCGGTTTGGACTTCAACCCGTGAGTGATTTGTTTTTTTTTTTTCTATTTGTTTTACTTTAATAATTATCTTAATACTCAAGCAGAGTCGTTATTTTAATGTTTGTTGAAATTTGAGCAATTACTTAAATTAATTAATCGATGTGGAAATTATCAGTGTTCTTAAAGTGAATTACCATGATAAATACTTAAAGTTAGAAGAGGAAATGGGAGA